TTTACATTCTGGAAGGACTAAGTATACAGATTTATATAGAAAGTACTTAGGAAAACCAAAGCATTAGACGTTATTTGTGAATGCTAGAACGCTAATATTTTGCAATAGCAGGTACACAAAACAAATTAAAATTTGAACATGGGAGGAAAAGCTCATTAAACCCCTTTCTTGACAGTGCCATGTATTGGAAAAAAAATACACTGATAATTTGGTCTACATAAATAAATTGCAGTCCTTGGCCTTTAAATTTCTAGATTTTTTACTGAATCCTGCAGCCTCAGTAATGGAGGGCTTTTCATATATTTTTTCGTGGCATCATTATTATGAGGGAAACTGAGATGCTTGTTTTGTGGAAAGCTGTCAGTAGAATGATCTATGCAGAATTCTTCACAGCATTAAATCAGTGACTGAGTTTTCCTTATATGCCCACTATTATTTAATGCCCAATCCCACTGCCAGTGAAGCCAGTTTCTTCAACTTTTTTACAATGTATAGATGCATAATAGCTTTGTTGCAGAGGTGGTAGTTTTCATGTCTTGTGGCCATTTCTTAAAAATCCTTGAACATTTCAAATGTCTGACGCCATTAGCAATTAGTTGGAACTAAGAGAATGGAGCGACAGGTTGACACAGAAGTGTTTAGGATTATACTGTGCACGTAGTCCAAACCACTCTTAGCCACCCACTCATTTTTAAAGAGGTTGGTAGATTGCCAGCGGTTAACATCTGCATGAACCATAGTGGAAATATTTCACCCAGCGAGCGATCCTAAGCAGCTCTACTCAGAATCCTACTTACTTCTATTCAATAGGGCTTACTTCTGGATGGGACTGGCAGTGTCCTATGATCTCCATTCCAGCAATAACTATGCTGGCTAAAGTAGCATCAGAAGAAAGCCTCAGATAGCATGAGCATCCACCTGGGCAGAATAATAAAATGACTTTTATAGGAGTGCCCTTAGAAGTGCTTAACATATCTCTGATTACATCCTGTAAATATAGGTAAACGTTTTGTGAATGTATTGCAAAGTAGGTTTGTTTGAAAGGAAAAAATATATAGTTGAAAAATATGTGTAAATATACAGGTACATACATATTTATGTATGCATGTGCTTTCTGTATCTTTATAGATGTGACACAGCCACACGTCCATACACCCAAATATCTTTATTCATCCTAGATTTCATACTCACACGTGCATGCACCACATTCACATACACACACATTCCATAATAAAAATCAAATGAAAAACAATATAAAAGCAACCAGTGCTGTGCGTTGGTAAATTCACATAGTATTTTCAATTCATATATAAGGCATAAATTAAGAAAGAGAAAAAGAAAGAGAAGAAGAGAAAGAAATTATAGCAAAACATTTTAAATATAGAAGGATTTCCACAATTGGCATTCCATGTTAAATAAGTATAAATAAATTCATTACATCCATTCACATACCAATTTGTAAAAACAATAAATTATTTATTTTTCAGTGCTATGTTGCTTTTTACTTTTTATGTTTTTAAAATTTAATTTATATATATTTTTACATCTGTGATCATCCACTCCCCCCCCCCACATGGGATAAACTGTTTCCACAGGAAGATAATTATATCAGACCATGTTGAATAGATCTTAGTTCTAATTTTCAAACCACTTATTCTCAGTGTGCCATCTTGATTACAAGGAGAGCAAGCAGTTTTGGGATTACAAATTGGTTTCTAGTATAAACTGTGTTAGAAAGCTAGCTTTTATTGCTAGAGCTAATGGGAATAGCTCCACCCCCAATCCAGAGATGCTCAGAACCATACTTCCAGTTGTGACTTGCACATTCAATTCAGTTAGTTGAATATTCTGAGAATTTATAAGTAACCCAGCAGAGAATTAGATGACCAGGAAGTAAATCTTTGGGATTGGCCTGTCTCAAGAATAGACAGAAATTATAAAGTACCATAATTGGCACCAATTTCACTTTAGGTGAGTGCACAAACCAATATGGCCAGAACTAGAAAAGTAACAGAAAAGACAAGTACTGGACGGAGGGTACAGAAAGGACCAGAACACATAGGCCACTTTCATTTTTCCCTGTGTTTGGTTCTTACCAAAATTACTTTTGATTAGTACATATGTCATACCAGTTCCACAATCATGCTACAATTATGAAAATACAAAATTAACATTTTTATGCTTTCATTTGAGTTTTGGCTAATTTACACCTGATATAGAGTTTAGACTTTTATGCATGCAATCCCTGTATTTAGCTTCAGCTGTTTCTCCTTTTTGAGTTCCCCTTTTCTTTTACTTATCATGTTCTATCTAACACATATCCCCCCCCCCTCCCCTGGATCATGTTTTGTCAAAAGCTTTTCAGACTGTTGTGGGAGGGAAACTGATTCATTGCTAACCCCATTTATTTTAAGCACCTTGTCATTCTGTTCACTGGGAACTGGTAGACAAATTGAAATGAGGAAACTAAGCATAAAGATTGTGCCAAATAAGGATTATTCTTGATGAAGTGTAAAAAGAATGAATTGGCATCACTTTGGAGGCTAATTCCACTCATTTTTTAAACCTCAGTGCTCCCCTTCCCCTTTTTGTCAGGAGGCGAAGAAAGACCTTCACTTTTTCTCCACAGGAAGATGAAATCTCTTTTTTTATACATGTAAAATGGTGTTTGGTGGGGTTTTTTTTGGAATTGCTGCAGAGATACAAGACAGTTGCTACTTAGTCTGTGTGTACTACACTGATAGTTCTCAAAACAGATTGAATGATCCCCTAGCAAACAGATCCAAGAAGGTGATTCAGGAGCTGGAGTGTCTTTCTGGTAACCAAACACTATTAAATTAACCACATTGCTTAGGTTCTCCTGAATTTGACTATAAGCACTCAAGGTATGTCTGTATGGAACTCATGGAATTCCAAGTCTTGTTACTGGGAATTTGCCACCACAGCAAAAGGATCTTTACAGCATGACAGAAGATAAGCTGTGTGCAAGCAAGAAGTATTTTTACACAAGATGTTAATTTTAAAAAGTGTCCTGGTAAGCAGAGTTCCTCCCTGAAATTATGCATAACTTCATTCCCTAACATTTTGTGGTTGGCTCCTATGGCAGCCATTTTAGGCGCTGCCTTCTGTGACAGCCATTTTGTGGTGGTGCACACCACCCTGTGTCAGAATTCCAAAGGTGCCTGCAGACTCAAAAAGTTTGGCAACCCCAGATATACACTTTACCAAAATCTGAAACTAAGATCAAATGGAAATTCAAGAAGTTATAATTACCTGTACTTATATAGCTTCACTATTTGTGTAAGGCACTGAGGAGGCATTTTATATACCCATACATAATATTTATCCATATTATAAAAAACATGATCTACAAGTTAATTTCTCTAGACTTCCTGTGAGGTATTTATTAGATATTTTTCTAAAATGGAAAGCTCCTTTGCCTGTCATCTGAGGGGAAAATCCTTTTGCTCTGTGGCAGCACTAGTTATAACTACGAAATCTCGATGTGGTTTAATTTATTTGTGGCCATTAATATAAAAAAATGCGAAATCTCCAAATTTCTTTTCTTTTGCTTTAAAGAATTACTCAGCAAAGACATGAAATTGTGCATGGATATCTCCCGCCATTCAGTCATGGAACCTTTGATGTACATTCCATTCATTTTAATGGAAGGATCCAATCCACTTGTTCAAAAGAATGCATAATAATGGGCAGTTTGTGCACACAAGTGACAGTGTACAAATCTGAGCATCTGCAGATCTTTGGATTTGGGGGTTCCTGCTGGTGAATACCAGAATTAGAAGTATTGCCAAATACATTAACAATGCAATACTAAGCAGAATTCAGTTCAATGGGCATGAAAAGGGTATAACTCTACTTAAAATTGCAGAGTAAATTACTTATGCGTTTTTGGCTTTTAGCTTCTCCATTAAATAATGGATACATTATATGTTGTTAGATTTACAGAGGAAGCCACAATGAAACTAATAGAGAAAGAAGATGTGAGCAGGTTTCAAACTATTTACATTATTTGCCACTCAGGGCATGAGCCACTGACTCACCACATCTTCCTCTTATCATCCCTCTCCTGTGAACGATGGAATTTCCAAGTGTGAAATTCTTTTTCACCAATCCTCTTTCCATTGGCTTCCATACCATACACAAAAGCTGCACATGCCCAAAAGTTCATGAGGGTCATATACTAAACTCTGCCCTTGATAATTTCTTTCCCCCTACATTGCTAATAGAGAACAGAGTATGCTCTTTTTATTTGTTTTATTAAGAAGCATACTGGCAGCTATTTTTTCTTGCTGCAGAAGTGCCCACAAATAAAAAATCCTGTAAGAAAGGCATTAATATAGAAATTAATTCACTGTCAGGAAATTCCTAGAATGGAAATGTATCTCCTGTTGTCAAAAATGTATTAAATCTTTTTTTTAAAGCAGCAAACTCTTAATTTTCCAGTAAAAGATCCACAGCCATGTTTTTAAAAGATGAAAGAGTCCTTCATGGCTGCAGATAAACTTTGGTCAATCACTTGAGTCATACAAAAAGGCTGTTGGTCTTCTGAAAGAAGGTCAAGTGACATAAAGTGACATACCAGAGGAAAAGTATTTACAAAGAGCATATTATGGGTATCATGGGCAAGTATGACAAGTTGTCTAAAGACATACTGTGTTAAAGGTAGGTGAGAAAAGGGAGAAAATTCTGTAACCTTTAGATAGCCCATGATCACCATTTCACTGGTTTATCCTCTTCTTACTTGCAGATACAGAGGGCTTTTGACAATGAATGCTTAGTTTCTTCGACATATTAATATCACCTTGCGATTACTCAGAGCAGTATGTATCTTCATTTGGTCCAAACAGGCAGATTCTGCCGATAACTTCAGATATGAAAGTATACTGATGTTGGGTTTTCTCTGTGCCTGGGTAGACCTTGTGTCAGTCTGCTGACTACGACTTCATGAGACCCTTTCTTAACAAGTACACAACCACAGGTTAACATTTAGTAAGCAAGCACTGCTTGAATGCTGAAGGTCTCTGAGACAAAAGACATCCTTTTGCTAATTTTCCATTTCCATCTTTGCACTGAACAGTTCTTGTGTGCCAGCCCATGTCACATGTTCGAGAACAAGAAAGCCATGGTCCAGTCACCCACTGGGGCTGGATGAGTGATGGTATCAGTTTGTTACTGCTGCTGTTGCTTGGAACAGAGTTTGTGATTTGTTCTTGTTTCTTTGGCACATAGAAACTGTAGCGGACATCCACTAGTTTAGCTGGGTCGGTAGCAAGAATTTGTACTATAAGGGTCTCCTTTGTGCCTGTATGTCCCATTGCATGCAAGAAATCATCTCTGTGACTCCAGCCACTGTAGTTCATGACAGTTCCATTGAGGTCAATGATTGTTTCCGAAGTTGAGATCATGTACTTTCCATTGACAAGGTACTCACCATTTTTCTTTTTCAGGGCCAAATAGGCTGTGAATCTGCTCTGGTCCTTTACTTTGAACTGTCGAACTTTGATGTGTGTTGCTCCTTCAGGTATTTTCACAATATCTGTGTAGCCTTTACTACAAAAGGAGAAATAACATGTTAATGAAGAACAACTGAATACTTTTTTTTGAAGTAAAAAAAAGAACAGCATAAACTAGGGGCATGTGCTTTAAATTTTTTCATTGTAATTTCATTTCATAATTTCAGAAAAGGCAAGATTATTGTTTTCACAAAATTTGGACACTCTGTATATTGTTTGAGGAATTCATCTTGGGAATATTATTTCCGTTTAAGTAATATTGATAGCAAGAGTAGGCCTGGCTATGAATGCCAAGTCTATTATCCACTGGAATCAACAGAGGTAGACCTGGCCTCTGAAATTATGTCTGTCATCCACCAGTATTAATGGGGGTAGACCTGGTCCCTGGAAGCCAGGTCTATCACCCACTGAAATCAGTGAAACTCAAAAAAATGCTGATTTCCCAATATTTCAGGAGGTGATTTTCAGAAATATCAAAATACAAGTGGGGACCTGCAAGAAACTTGCAGGAGAAGTTATCCCATTCCTCCCACCTTTGCTTCCTCCCTTCTCCCTCTACTTCTCTGTCTCTCACTCTTTCGCTCTCCCACCACCTGTTCTCTTTCTCTTGTCTTCATTCCTGCCACTTCTTCTCTCTTTCTGCCCCCCCATCCCTCTTTCTCTTTCTGTCCCCAACCCATCACTCTCTCTTTCTGCCTCTATCACTCTCCAAGTCACCCACCAGCACCCGCCCCCCAACAGAAGCGGCACTGGTGGCTCTCCAGGAATCACAACAGATCTCTGAACTACAGAAATCAGTTCCCATAGAATCATAGAGTTCAAAGGGACCTCCAGGGTTATCTAGTCCAACCACCTGCATAACGCAGGGAATTCACAAATACCTCCCCCCAACACACACAGTGACCCCTGCTCCATGCCAAGAAGATGGTAAAAAAACCCTCCAGGATCACTGGACAAACGGGCATGAAGAAAAATTGCTGCCTGACCCTAAGTGGCAATCAGCATTTCCCTGGGTGTGTAAGAAAGGGCCACAAGGACTAAGCACTGAGGCAACCCTTCCTGCCCTCCCTCTCATGATCTGCCTAAGTTCACACAATTAGCATTGCTGTCAGATGGCCATCTAGCCTTTGTTTGAAAACCTCCAAAGAAGAAGAGCTCCCGAGGAAGCCTGTTACACTGAGGAACCACTCTGTCAGGAAGTTCACCCTAATATTTAGCCAAAAACTCATTTGATTTAATTTTATCCTGTTGGTTCTGGTCCAACCTTCTGGGCCAACAGAAAACAACTCTGCAACATCCTCTATATGACAGCCCTTCAAGTACTTGAAGATGGTTATCATATCACCTCTCAGTTGTTTCCTCTCCTGGCTAAACATACCCAGCTCCTTCAGCCTTTCTTCATAGGACTTGGTCTCTAGACCCCTCACCATCTTCGTTGTCCTCCTCTGGACACGTTCCAGCTTGTCTATATCCTTCTTAAATGGTGGTGCCCCAAACTGAACACAATACTCTAGGTGAGGTCTAACCAGAGCAGAATAAAGCGATTACATCGCTTTCCATGATCTGGACACTATACTTCTGTTGATACAGCTCAAGATCGCATTTGCCTTTTTAGCTACCGCATCACACTGCTGACTCATGTTCAGTCTATGGTCTACTAAGACCCCTAGATCCTTTTTGCACGTACTATTGCCAAGACAAGTCTCTCCCAACCTATAATTATGCATTTGATTTTTCCTATCTAAATGCAGAACTTTATATTTATCCCCATTGAAATTCATTTTATTTGTTTTAGCCCGCTTTTACAGCCTGTCAAGATCATCCAGTATCCTGATTCTGTCTTCTACTGTATTTGCTACCCCTCCCAATTTAACATCATCTGCAAATTTAAAAAGCATTCTCTTTATTCCTTCATCCAAATAACGGATAAAGATTTGAACAAAACAGGTCCCAGGACAGATCCTTGAGATACTCCACTTGTCACTCCTGTTCAAGAGGATGAGGAACCATTAACAAGCACTCTTTGGGTGTGATGTGTCAACCAGTTACAGATCCACAGTAATAGGATCCAAACCACATTTTACCAATTTGTCAACAAGAATATTATGTGGAACCTTGTCAAAAGCCCTACTGAAACTATGTCTACAGCATTCCCCTGGTCCAGCAAGGTAGTAACTTTCTTGAAAAAAGAGATAAGATTAGTCTGACATGACATTCTTGAGAAACCCATGCTGGCTCTTAGTAATCATAGCTGTCCTTTCTAAATGCTCAAGGACTATTGGATGAATTGTTCTAGAACTTTTCCAGTGTCAATTTGCTGTGGTGACCTCAGCAGGGTATAATGACACAGAGTCCACCATTTTCTCCAGAGGAACTGATCTCTACTATATGAAGAGCAATTGTAATTTTGAATGATCTCCACCCCTCACCTGGACATTGGCAACAATGGTTCCCCCAGGAGGAAATGGGTGGTTTGGAGGGTGGAGTTTATGGCACTGTACTTCTCTGAAGTCCAACCCCTCCTCAAACCCCACCCACTCCAGGCTCCACCCCTCAAATCTCCAGGAATTTCCTAACCTGGAGGTGGCAACCCTATCTCCTTCCCAGCCAACCATCAACCTACCTTTATCTGTCCCTCTGACTTCAGCTTTCCATCTCCTCCTCCCTCCCTCCTGGAGATCAGTTGTAATTCTGAGTGCTCTCCAGTCCCCTCCTGCAGATTGGCAACAATGGTTCGCCAGGAGGGAATAGCTGGTTTGTCTATGTCATTGTACCTGTCTGAGGTCCCACCCCTCCTCTAATCTCACCCAGTCCAGGCTCCACCCCTCAAATCTCCAGGAATTTCCTAACCTGGAGGTGGCAACCCTATCTCCTTCCCAGCCAACCATCAACCTACCTTTATCTGTCCCTCTGACTTCAGCTTTCCATCTCCTCCCCCCTCTCTTCTGGAGACCAGTTGTAATTCTGAGTGATCTCCAGCACCACCTGCATATTGGCAACAATGGTTCCCCAGTAGGGAATGGCTGGTTTGGAGGGTGGAGTCTATGGCATTGTACCTGTCTGAGATCCCACCCCTCCTCTAATCTCACCCAGTCCAGGCTCCACCCCTCAAATCTCCAGGAATTTCCCAACCTGGAGGTGGCATCTCCTTCCCAGCCAAGCATCAACCTGTCATTATCTGCCCCTCTGATTTCAGCTTTTCATCTCCTCCTCCCTCCCTCCTGGAGGGCAGTGGTAATTCTGAGTGATCTCCAGCCCTCACCTGGAGATTGGCAACAATGGTTCCCCAAGAGAAAATGGCTGGTCTGGAGGGTGGTGTCTATGACATTGTACATGTCTGAGGTCCCACCCCTCCTAAAACCGCACCCTCTCCAGGCTCCACCCCTCAAGTCTCCAAGAACTTCCCACCCTGGAGTTGGCAACCCTATCTCCTTCCCAGCCAAGCATCAACCTGCCATTATCTGTCCCTGACTCTTCAGCTTTCCGTCTCCTCCCAGCACCTGCAGCCTCTACTGTGCTCTGAAGACCTGACTGCTACGTCACATTGGCTGTCATAGGGAGGCTATCTCGGCAGGATATAAGGACACAGAGTCCACCATTTTCTCCAGGGGAACTGATCTCTGCCATCTGGAGAGCAGTTGTAATTCTGAGTGATCTCACAGCACTGGTATTTCTGGCCACTGTGTGACACAGAGTGTTGGACTGATGGGCCTTTGGCCTGATCCAACATTGGCTTCTCTTATGTTCTTATGTTCACCTGGAGATTGGCGACAATGGTTCCCCAGGAGGAAAAGTACAGTTTTTCTCTGCAATGGGGACCAAAGCAGCTTACATCATTCTCCTTTCCCCCTTTTGACTTGCACAACAACCCTGTTTTACTGACAGAATCAAGCTTGGTTTCTAGCAATGTTCACAGTTTATTCTGACAGGAAAGTGGCCAAGCTGGCAGTGGGCTGGGGAGGGGTTACACTGAAAGTCTGTGACTGGTCCGAAATCACAGCTTCCACAGCAAGAACCTGGGTCTGGCAGACCCTCTGAAGTGCTAACTGCTACGCCTAGGGTAGCCAACCTCCAGATGGAGCCTGAAGATCTCTGGGTATCACAACAGATGTCTTCCCCCCCTGGAAAAAATAACTGCTTTGGACAGTGGCCTCTATGGCATTCTATTCAGCTGAGGCCTCTTCCCTCCCCAAACAGTGGCTGAAGGAGGAGTGGGTGGGAAAGAGGAGCAGACCCAGCACCCAGCCAATGGCACACGAGTACTCTTGAGTGGTGAATGATGGACCAATGGCTGAGGGAGTGCATTGCACAGCGAATGGGAGAGCTGGAAAGTGCCTTCCCACTACTCAGTTATATATAAGGAGAGATATCCGGCTAGGGTTGCCAGCCTCCGGGTGGTAGCTGGCAATCTCCTGAGATTAAAACTGATCTCCAGGCAACACAGATCAGTTCAACTGGAAAAATTGTCACTTTGGAAGATGGACTCTATGGCATTATATCCCACTGAAGTCCCTCCCCTCCCCAAACTCTGCTTTCCTCAGCATCCACCACAAAATCTCTAGGAATTTCCCAACCTGGAGCTGGAAACCCTAGTCAAGCCTGGCCCCAATGAATCCTCCCTCAAAGGATAAAATGGGCTGGAAAGGGCCCAGTGCCCTCCTGCTGCCTTTTTACTAAAAAACCCCAGCCTAGCAAGAGCCACCGACATAATCCATTCTTTTTTAAAGCTACAGGTGCTGTTTATCATTTTTGGATTTTTGAAACTCCTCAATGTATTTTTTTTAGATTTCACATTTTTCTCCAAACCTGGGGCCTTTTCAACTCTAGCCCTGCACTGCTGAAGTAAATCCCATCAGTGGAGATCCAATCCCATATATTTCATTAATTTTATAACTCCTTGTAGAAAATTTTATAAGATTCATCTTATGTGTCGATACAACTGCATATGACTGAGTTTCTAAACAAAAATGCTAACAAGAATCTAGAAGTCGAGTTGACATGTACAGGAAAGTTAATGAAAGTCCCAGAGTTATTTTAATGTGGTTAAAGGGGGAATGATAGTGAAAAGGTGAGATAATTCTCCTATATCTGAACTGGGGAATATTTATATATGCACATAGAAGAATATTTATCATTGAACAAATAAAGAGCAGTTATGTCGAACTCTATAAAACCAACGTTTTCCAAGTCTCTATTCTTCATTCGAGGTTGTAGAATGTTTAGGATCCTTTTAATACTGGGATAGTTTTCTTTCTGCCATAGGAAAACATATTAAAATCAACTGGGATGGAATATATATGTTGTACCATTACAAAGAATATTATTAGTACTGAATGCTACTGTTTATTATTAGACCTTTATATTTCTTAATTGGGGGGGGGGAATCACAGAGTATATATTTGATGAAAATATACAGCATTTCAATGGCTGCCTAAACATAAATTGAAGTGGTGGAAGAAAGTTGAGAAGAACTATAGTACTATGGTAGACAAATACTGCAAGCTGCTGTCTTGCACTATGCCAGTGGGAACCAGGCCATCCTTGTGATCATCTGACTGGCTGGTTCAGCAATTTTGTTCTTTCCAAAAAGTGGAATACTAAAGGGGATGTATGAACTGGGCCATACAACCTTGTATAACCCATGAATAAAGTTTGATAGAAGCTCGGTTTTGTGGAACAGTTATCCCTGATGTTGTTAGAGGAGTGTTTCTCATCTCGTGAATACTTACCATTATAAAGGGTTCTTATTGTTCAGTGATGAGTACCTTCTTAAGGGATCGTATGGATTGGTTTTTAGAACACTTTGGCTCAAGACAGACACTTTGGCTCAAGACAGACATTCTACATTGTGGCTGAACACATTAGCTGTATGCCAAGGCACTTAGAATGTGTGTCTTCGCCTTTAATTTCCTGTTTTCTATATGCACACATTTTTTTTTACAGAAAACGTATGTGCAGCTACTAGTGGAAAGCTAGTCACAGTGAGGCTGATAAAACGGAACACAAATATGGCAAATAAAATGCAAGTCTGTGGTCAGGCAGGCAAAAAGGGAATATGAAAAGCATATAACAAAAAACGTAAAAACCAACAATAAAACTTTCTTCAAATACATTAGAAGCAGGAAACCAGCCAGGGAGGCAGTGGGGCCCTTGGATGCCCAAGGGGTAAAAGGAGTACTGAAGGATGATAGGGAAATGGCTGAGAAGCTAAATGCATTTTTTGCCTCTGTCTTCACTGTGGAAGATGAGAAGTGCTTGCCCACTTCAGAACCGCTGATTTCAGGAGGGGTGTTGAAAGACCTGAGTCAGATTGAGGTGACGAGAGAGGAGATCCTAAAACTGATAGACAACTTAAAAACTGATAAATCACCAGGCCCAGATGGCATACATCCGAGAGTTCTGAAAGAACTCAAATGTGAACTTGTAGATCTCCTGACAAAGATATGTAATCTTTCCTTAAAATCTGCCTCCATTCCTGAGGATTGGAAGGTAGCAAATGTCACTCCCATCTTTAAAAAGGGTTCCAGAGGAGATCCGGGAAATTACAGGCCAATCAGTCTGACGTCGATACCGGGTAAATTGGTGGAAACCATTATTAAGGAAAGAATTAGTAGGCACATAGATGAACAAAACCTATTGAGGCAGACTCAGCACGGTTTCTGTAAGGGAAGATCTTGTCTCACTAACCTATTAGTGTTCTTTGAGGGGGTGAACAAACATGTGGACAAGGGGGATCCAATAGATATTATTTACCTTGACTTCCAGAAAGCTTTTGATAAAGTTCCTCATCAAAGGCTCCTAAGTAAGCTCAAAAATCATGGGATAGAAGGACAAGTCCTTTTATGGATCAAAAACTGGCTAGTTCATAGAAAACAGAGAGTGAGTGTAGGTGGGCAATTTTCTCAGTGGAGGGTGGTAAGCAGTGGGGTACCGCAGGGATCAGTACTTGGTCCACTGCTTTTTAACTTGTTCATTAATGATTTGGAGATGGGAGTAAGCAGTGAAGTGGCTAAATTTGCGGATGATACAAAGTTGTTCAGGGTGGTGAAAACCAGTGAGGATTGTGAGGCACTCCAAGGGGATCTGTCAAGGATGGGCGAGTGGGCGTCAACATGGCAAATGGGGTTCAATGTGGCCAAGTGCAAGGTGATGCACATTGGAGCCAAAAATCCTAAATATAAATACACATTGATGGGGTCTGAACTGGCAGAGACTGAGCAAGAGAGAGATCTTGGAGTTGTAGTGGATAACTCACTGAAAATGTCGAGACAGTGTGTGACTGCAATAAAGAAGGCCAATGCTATGCTGGGGATTATTAGGAAGG